CATTCACCGTTTACTAAACCCGCATGCTTAACCCAGTCATCATCACCTGCTTTTGTCATCTTGAGACATTGATAGCTAATATTAAACAAGGATGACTGTTCAGCAAAGATTCGCGACAAAATTTTAATCGTTGCATCAAAAGAAAAATCTCTTGGATTCTTTGGTAGGATGAAATTATTGTAGCGTTCATGTTCCATAGTCCCAAGTTTTCTAAGAAGTATTCTGACTTTTGAAGCATCATCCAGTTTGCTAAGATCAATATTAAACAAATCTTCATACTTCTTAAACCACGACTCAAAGGTTACACCTGCTACACCATCAAAATTAAATTCATGGATGGCGTTAATGACTGAATCAATATGCGATACTTGAGACTCACTAGAAGCAGGGTTTTTCTCGGACAGGCAGAATTTCTGCATCAGGGATTCCGTGATTCTAATTTGGGACTCTTCAAACCTCTTTTCTTGACGCACCATATAAGCTTCTAATTGCTCCAAGGAAATATTCATTGAAGTTTTCATCCCCGTCGCCACTGATAAGTCGTGTAGGTTGAACGCTATATACGATTCCTAAGCTATTCCCGTAACCCGCAGACTAGAACTACACAGCGACTTTAACTCCAGAAAGAAGACACAAGTATGAGAGAATACACTTTATCCCAAGGTTCATTCTAGTACAGAAAATCAAGGGTATTTATAGATGTTGACGTCTGTTAAATTAACATCATATTTCAGCCAATCCGTTAACGTCATATTATGCTGCCGACCAATGGTAGCACGCCACGCTGGAATTCTCGAACGTTCCATTATACTCTGATTGGTTAGGCCCTTCGGCTCCTTTTTGGGCCTCTGGAGGCCCCGTTGAAGTTCTCCGGAAGCTGACCCAACAATAATTTAAACCAAAACTAACACCAATATTAACATTTCTACAATATTGATTGCTTTTAATATTTCTAAACACAAAATACCCACTACCTATACGTTAAGTTATTAACCAACGGCTATTAATACGCATCGTTTTATTATTATTATTGTAATCCCATTTTTTATAGTTCAAATAATCTTCACCCAAATTTTCATTTCAAGCGTGTTACTCATGAAAGCAGATATTTTAAGATTATTACATGTATTTTCCGACCAGATGCTGCCGCCTTCCTTTAGATTTATCTTTCAGCTTACCATTACGCGGGGATGCTTACTAGTCTTGGTAAACTTCGGTGCACGACAATCCCATCCAATTCGGTATCGAACCAACATCACGTTGATTCTGGTGGGAGAGTAGTGTAGTGGCATTGGACCATAACCACACAATCCTCAAAGTTGAACATGAGACAACTGGAAAAATAGATATTCAATATTTAACGCGGAAAAATACCTAACGATGGAGCAGGCGGGAAGAATGAATTGGAGTTGATCGAATGGCATGCAAGCGTGGTCCCTACTGAATGTTATCTTATATCTTTTAACCATATTAAATATATTGTCCTATCTCTAGCCTAAGCTTGTTCTCCATCATGTATTGATAATTGTTGTGATGCAATGAGTTGGTGTAGACGATGATGTAACTCCCACGTAGGATCTTATAGATTAGGCAGTTATATCATGACAAATCTACAATTTAAGGATTAGGTCTATTATTAGAGCAGTACTAATAACATATTAGACCATAATTCTACAAAGTATCATCTCCGGAAGGTAAAGAAGAGTCCACAATAGTTCGGCGTCCTTTAGTAATTTGAAAAAGTTGCTTTGCTTTTAAACTAGCTTGTTCTGGCTGAAATGGTTGGAAAGTAAAAACAGAGAGTAGCAATATAACAGCTATAGTCAACTTGAAATAAAATTTATTCATGGATAACATTTAAGTGCTTATGCGACTGAGCATTGAAAGAACTCCTCACACAAACGAAATGATAATATTGTGAAATAACCATAAAAGGAAATATCCATATGATCAAAAAATAAATAGACAAAATCAATATTTAATAAAATACACATTCTAATCAAAATACAACCAGGATAAACTTCTGTTAGTTAAGATGCTTCACTTTGCTTTATTAAATATGTAATAGTCCCTGCCACATGCCTTTTTTAGCAATGTCGAATAACGTATCGAGTCACACTGAGTTCCGCAGTCTTCAAACGCTATTCAGAGAGTCGTGAACATATAGCAGCCTTATACATCTATTCCCTTCGTCATGGCGCAATTTCATGAGCTGACCACTTCTTTGTTTTTCTCACTTAATTCAAGAATCCGCAAATAATGAACCACAAAGATGCCATTGAGAAGGCCATCATAAAACATCACCGTCAGATGTAAACTATCGTTCGAAGACAATGATGACCGAACACAGCCATGAACATTTCCAGCTACAGGTGACGCGAGATTTTACAAAAACAGAACTGTATTCATACACCTACTCAGCCAGATACACAAACAACTGACTGGTTCTAGGGGACTTCAAAATTGCTAAAGTCAATTTCACGGAACATACGTATATTGGATGCGGTAATTCTATGGACCCTCCGTTCTTCAACCTCATTGACAATCTGGGATTATTCGAAAATGTGAGGTCGACAACTCGCTGAAGAAACAGTCTGAAGCCGTCGCAATTGGACTGTGTACTTACAGACGATGAACTCCAATTTGACAACCTCTCAATGATAGCTCCCCTTGGGAACAATTATCACACCGTCATAGCCTTCAGTTTTATCAGTCAAACTGAGCTAACACATCTCACCAACGACAGGCGCTGGAATTTTGAACGGTTAAATGTGTCAGCTTTACAGGACAATCTACAACAAGTGGATTGGGAAACTCACCATCAACTTGATGTGGATGCTCATTAGGGTTCCTTACTGCATGTGATCTTATATGCTACATAGCAGTCTGTTCTTCAAATGGTTCCCAAAATCTACAAGCAACCTACAGTCATCAAGAGCCGCACTCTTCACTTGCAAAGCCGCAAAAGACACTGTTGTGCGGAACACAAACGAACTGGTAACGACGGAGCGTACAGGCAACTTAAACTAGTAAGGGACATATGCACAAATGTAGTAAGAGAAGACAGGCTTCAGTACCAGATACAGCTTATCGATAAGTTTGTCTCCAATTCCAGAAGCTTATTCCGTCGTGCAGCCTCTCTTCGACAAGCCAAAACTGAAGTTTCCCAACTACTAGGTCCTAATTTCCCGACCAACAACGGTGGTAACGCCGCCGACCTTCTGGCAGAACAGTACTTCCGGACATTTCAACCGACCCACATTAACTATATTGATGAAAGCTTCATCTGTGATTGCACGGGACTTTCCGAATTGAACCTGAGCACTGACTTTATGTACCGAAAACTGCAGCACCTAGAAAAGATAATTCTCTTGGTCCGGATATGGTTCATTCTACGATACTGAGCAAAGCAGCTTCAATCCTGGTAACGCGTGGTGTTATCACACTCGCTAAGCCGAGGCACGTTATCGGAAATTTGGAAGCTGGCTCACATCACACTAAGTTTCAAAAGAGGTTGATGCAGTAAAACTTCAAGCTGCTGACCAGTGGCTCTTCTCTTCATACCTTCTAAAGTAATGGCGTCCCTGATATATGACTGTATGCACGACTATTCATCGTCCTTAAACTTCTTTTCACCTCCACAGCATGGTTTCAGGTTGTGTTGTTTTTATTATAACCCCCCCGCCGACCAAGGTAGACAAATGGACAACCATCCCTTGTCTCAAGAGGAAGTTTGACTTCATTCACCTCGACTTCTAAAGAGCCTTTGATGGGGTTATCCATATATGTCTTATCAATATGCTTAAACGACCAGGTATCAAATCATCTTTAATTGATTGGCTCACTTCATATCTAGAAGATCGACATTTTAAGGTCAGGTTTAACTTCCTTTTCTCTCAGGCTATCGAAAGTCATGGTGGGGTCTTCCAGAGTTCAGTACTAAGAACTCTTCTTTTCTTGATTTATGTAAGTGATCTTCCATAACAGTTAACGTCTGACTTATTTCTTTTTGCTGATGGTGTGAAACTTTCGAGAGAGGTACTCAACCAAGAGGATAAACTGGCACGTCAGGAGAAGTTGAGCAGATGACGACGGACTTGCCTTTAATACTTCAACGTGTAAAGTAGTCCATCTGAGACATGTTGCAGACTACAGTTACAACTTAGGAATCTCTCTGGAAGTATTCTAAGACGAAAAATATCAGGGAATGTTGGTATACTATGTTCTTACGCTAACCATGACAAAAATGCTTTTCGAAAAAATTTTGCACTACTAACGCTGAAGCTCATTTTGGGCCAGTTAGAAGGAAGCACTTTCTACATAATCTTCAACAGTCTTATTCGTCTCAATTTAGAATACGGAAACATAGTATTTCCTCCCTCACTCCAAAAGGATAACAACCCTCTGGAGCGTATCCAACGGCAAGCCACAAAATCATTTCGGGGACTTAAATTCAAGCGCCTTCAATGGCTGAATCTTTACCCATTAATGTACAGGCGTCATAGAGGTGACCTGAGGGTTCTTAAGAACTACGGAAAATATCTTACTATGATTAACCAATTTCTTTTTTTTCCTGTGTTATCGTTAATATACCTAGGTTCCTGCCTGAAAGTATTGGTGATCAATTGCTACTAGACACGGAAGCTCGTTAAGGGAAAGCTTCTTGTATTCCGTTCACAACCATATGAACCATTTGAACCATTATGTCGACGGGTTTCTGGTCCAGCTAGTGCCGACTTCATTTTTATTATATATTCAAAAGATATATGAGGCCTTACCCAAAATTCGGTATTGTTGTGACTACAAGCGCTACTTAACAAATCACATTGCTTCACTGACTATAGGATTACCTTAAGGTATCTCTATAGTCGGGGTTCAACGCTATCGTCGGTCCTCCTACCTATTCTTACTCATTCTTAGACTATCTCAGTCGATTAAACAAACCATTGCTTTAAAAGGTAATTACAGACCTGAAGCTGTACTCTACTGTCAAGTTACAGGCTCGGAGAAATCATTTTGTTTATACGAGCTCACTCAAAAATATTGGTTATTGACTCGATATTGGTGTTACTTGTGTAGGTCATGTTGTTTACTATCCGTGTCCCAAATAACTGTGTTTCCTCTTGCATTTCTCCCCGCGCTTGTTTACAAGTCAACAATATTTTAGTATTTACAAGTGGTATGACACTATTTTTCCGAAGGTATAGTCAGGTCACACAACGTCTGTGAGTCAGTGAAACGCTAATTTACCGATGCGTTGTTTATGAATAAGCAGTTAAAAAATTCAACCTACGGATTGGATGTTAGACAGTTTGGCGTAAATTTGGGTGGAATTTAGATAATTCGGTGAACATTTAGATGGAATGCGAACATTTTGGCAACTACTATGGTGTTGAGATGTAAATTATTATATTTCTGCCTGGATTAGGACCGAATTCCCTAAGCTGGTTTTGCCCGTATTTCCTCAAAGTCCGCCTTTATTTCCCTATTGTGTAATTGGAAATCAGTTCTTACTGGTTTGTCTTATAACAGCAATACGAATACTCAAAGCTTGCTCAAGACTTATTGGGAAGCATTATTTAAACAAGAAAAGTTTTGAAGTGTCACTTAAGTGATAAGTATTCAGTGCACCAATATATTTTTGATTTTCCCCTGAGGGATGTGAGTATTACGAAGATGTACATATGTACTTATTTCCAGATGCCTTCAAAAATCATTTCCTTAGCTTAAACATACAAGTCAACTGTCTTGAGTTCAGGACTGGGTGTTCGGAAATGTTATTGCTGTCGGCCTCATGGTTTAGGTATGTTTGGTTACCGAACTAGAATTACATATATCTTGTCCCGTTTTCCCCCTTTCAAATCCTTAAGAACTTGCTAGTTGTCATGATTCAGAATAAGTTGTAATGACGCAGATTCACTTTCTATTTTTCTCTAGATCTTGAGTCCCAGTGTATCTCCACACATACTTTTTTATTCTTTCTCAACGTTCAGTTTGTCTAACCCCCAGTTCTACCACTAGTGTTCCGAGTTTTGATATTCATCTTATTCACTTTATATTGTACTGATTTGGTCTCGTAACCAGAACCTACTTTAGTTACTACTGACTACTACTCTGCATCTTTCTTTGCTAACTTGTTTAGTGTTGTCGGTTTTCTGAGTTCTTCAGTTGTAGCGTCGGAGTTAAATTTGTTAAACTTTCTCAGCAACCTGGTGTGATGTAAATGGTTTCCTTTATTTGTGTAAACTAGCTTATATTGTAATAGGTATTAAAGTACCTTGACTCTTGACACTTATAGAACCTGACACCGTTCTTCATAAAAAAGGTTGACATTTTGGGTAAGGAGGATTTTGATAAAGTGATAACAGTGTGATCAATTTGATCGTTTAATCTGTGTCATCATATTACTCGCCTAATTTTCTTGTTGATTTATTTAGAAATACTACTAAAATCTGTCAGTACGAAAAATCATATAGCTCCTACCCAAAACAAATGAAAAATGCAAATGTACCATCCTTTGATGCATTCGATGCGCTGATGATTGAAATAATCAAATATTCAAATTCCGTTTCAAGTGATGTATTGTTTTTTCTGATAATTTCCATTCCTCTGATATTTGAAAACTCTAGGACTCGGATATTCGTTTTCTTGAATCCCTTGGTGTAAACGTAAGCGAAAAGTTAATCGAAAAGTTTGTGTATTTGTTTTCTAACCTTTCACATTAAGAGCTACAAAAGATCATGCCAGGTTTATCAATGAATTAGATATTGTTAAATATGTATGCACAGAATTTTGGTCATCCGTATACCACAAACAAGTTGATACGCTTAAAACCAATTACCAAGTATGGTGACGTTCTTACTTATAAATTAAATAGGATGTTTACGTTCTGATTGTTAATGATTTTCAGCCTTTAGTGAAATTCGAAAGTATCCCAGAAGGCATATCAGAAATCCCAAAGGTAAACATATGAATACTTTTATTTTGTTTTAGTATCTGGCGTTCCCTTCAGGACTTTTGAAAGGAGCTTTATGTAGTCTTGGATTGAATTGTGTTGTAGCAGCAGATTGTGAACAACCACCTACATGTAAGTTTGCCTATAACAAAGTCACTCTTAGTAACAGGTAAATTCACAGTTACAGTGCTTTCTTACAGAGGTATAAGCTGAAATTGTGAACATATTTTGTTATTTGTGGATTAAACTGGCCTACTTATATATTTCTGATTTTTTATTAAACCGAGTTTTCTAATTTATTATGATTTCTGATTTGATTTTAGTCTTGCAGAAAACAACTCTCCCATTTATACTGTTATTTATGTTCCATAACCAGAGCGACCGACAACGTTTACTTAAACGATCATCACTTATACTTGGTGTAACGCACCTTTATCTAATTATCAACCATAAAATGGTATCCAGTTTGTAAGCGTGACTTTCTTATTGATTTTATTTTATTGCATTCTTCATTATTGTTCGAGTTTCGCCTTTGACTGTAGCTACGCGAAGATTGGTTTCACAGCCATGTGGACTTGCTCGAAGATTACATCTATTGGGGAAATAGGATCTAGACCTACTAGTATCTTTCACAGCATTTTCTGTCTGTGAATTTCAGAGACGTATAATCGACTGTGACCATTTAGAGGAACAAAAAATATCTGAGCACATCGAATAATGATTGGCAAATCCAATGATCACTCGTGTATTATCAGATGCGGAAAAACCAACAGCTAAAATTTAATAAATAAGAATCTACCGAGCTACTTTATTGTAAAATGGTTGAATGTATATCTTAGTCGCTAGGTACTTAGTGGGTTGGATTTGTCCAAAATTTGCTTCTATTTAGGCTTAATAGATAGTGGATGCCTCGAAGGCGTCCAAAATAACTGACCAACAGCGAACACCAGTTCTACTTCTCTCTCAAGAGGTCACTGCCATCAAACGTTTCTAAATTGACTGTACGGAAAGGGTACACGATCAACTCCTTTATATTGTAAATATAATCAGATGGTTTTGTCACTTAGTCTTATTTGTAATTGTTCATTAATGTTCACCTATGGAACTGACTTTGGTCCTAATTTTATTGATTAATGTGTACTTACGCTTGTTAGTCCTCATGGAGGAGCATAAGCTTTCCAATCATTTTTATTATAACTGGTTTCTTAGCAATTTGTAGTACAATGTTTATTATCGTATTGTACCTCTCATTATTATTAGTTTTTATGTATTCTGAACATTTCATTTTCATAAACTAAGCATGTCAACTCTATGTTTTTGATCATATTGTTCTTCACAACTTGACGTTGCCTGTAACTCACGAGAACCGTTAAAATAGAATGAATTCATTTTACTTTGCAAATCTTGTTTTTCTTGCTTTATTCTAATTTATCAAATAATGTCCAAAATCCTATCATTACGTCGGTCATAATTTCATCGACTTAGTTGTGCCAGGGTGTACGTTAATTAAGTTGAAGAAAATATTACTATGCATTGTTTGGCGGGACTAGTTGAGAAACAACTAGGCATCAGTCCTTGACATCACTAACTTCTAGTCTGAGCCATGTTGACAGATACTGACTGCTTGGTTGGCGTCCGCGCAACTATCGTAATCAACAGTTGAAGACTGGGTGATATGGCTCAGAATCGATCATAATGATGTAGGTGTTTACTTCTTGTCTTTCTTTAAACTGTGGGATTAAAATTACTTCATACCTTTATTTCTACGAGCTAATTCTTTCTCACTGTATCATATCCTTATATGCAGTCCTTCTTTTAGATATTACTAGCATTGAAGTAGCCACTTCTATGAATTTGGTGTTTACGTTGTGCTGATGAGGTGTAACAATTTGGACCGATGCATATATGTGCCTGGCCCTACGTTGTAGTTAACTGACTGACTATTTGAAAACTTTTTCGGGCAAAAATAAATGCCAGTTAATGACTGTTGAATATATTTATTCACAAGCTAAATAGGTGTAAGATATGAGTCTGTTATCATACTACATATGTGCTGAGAATTCTTTACAGTAAATGGATTAGTGGACATAGATTTTAGTGTACAGGAGATGGTTACGTGTAGCACGTAGAGATTCATCATAACTTTTTAACAGACTTTATTAACTAAGACAGCATGTGACTAGTGAGCCATTTTTACCTTCCTAACAACTCTTGATAAGTGATGATGACCTTTAGTTCAACACCTTGTAATCCTACGATTACACATCTTAATGTGCTTGTGTGTGTCTGGACACTTATAACTTTATCCAGTGCTTATATCCTTGTCACAATAAATTATCTATTTTGAGTCATATTAACGCTTGCAATGAGTAGTATTTTAAGTGGACAGATTTGTTTTCACCTCTTATTTTGCTGTCTGAAATTGGTTCAGTTTAGCCTTAGTAAAATATACAAAATCAAGCAGTGATTTTTTATTAGTGGTTCACTCTTCGTTCGTTCCATCGTCATTCATTATGGAGTCAAATGTACTGACAAAATGTAGATAGGATTTTAATAACGACATAAAGCCTGAAATTAGCTTATTGATGTCATAGGATATTGAGGTGTTGAGTTTAAAATTTCACATCACGAACTCACTTTTGTTAGGTAAATATTGAGAACCACTAAACAGTTGTTTTGTCCTGGTATGAGACTTCAGTAGTCCACATATACAGCCTCACCAGGGGTCAGACCTTCAGGAATGCAAGTGTACAGTTACATCATATTCAGACCTTCCAGTTATATGGCGCTGGCTGTTTTTTGGCCAGACTATATCCAATCCAGCACAAATTGGAGTTTTTCGAGATTAATCAATGGAATGTGTCGTATAATACGTATAACCTAGCGTGTAGGTACTGTTTTGTGTTGAAGCTCCGTCTTTTGCTTGTGTTGTAGTAAACTCCAAATCCATATTTTGAGTTGTACTTTGGAGGGCGATTTTTTGGTCACGATCCATATGTGTCCTTGTTTATGCTTTTCAAAATGAATCCTCACCCAATATTTTTTTAGAAAAGTCGTCATTAAATCAAAATGTTTATTGTATTTTCTCAGTAGTTATTTGTGATAAGGTTGGTCGCCTATTCGGAAGATGAGGTAGTTTAGCAGTAAATAGATGTAATGCGTTAAAGTCGACGTACGAGTGTCAATCTCTTGACTTTCGGTAGATTAGTAAAACTACTGTTCTATCCAAATTTCTCATCTGAAAATGATGAATATAACTTCTATATCATGACTAACTCGAAACCTAGCTATTACTAAGGTTAATAATGCTGATATAATAACGTAAGAGATCGGAAACTAGTTTCTCCAATAATTGTGATTAGGTTATGAGGAATTGTCTCATGGTTTCTTGTGATCGGTTTTGAATGTAATTTGTTAGAAAATGTCCTTTCGTAGAAATGCTTTGAAGTGGCATACGTCTTGTCCGATTATTGGTTAGAACTCGGTAGTCAGAAATCTTACGCGGTTTGTGACTGTCGGTCGGGTTTCGCGTTCTTGATACCTGATTCATTATTCCGAGAAGCTTTAAAATAGAGGATAATATGTGAAATCACTCCAGACGATCATCTGAAATTACATCATTACGAATCAGTATTCTCTTAGAAGCCTCATATTTATTTTCGGCAAACGAAGTGAGCTTTGACACATGTAGTTGTGCGTCAATGCAATCGCGTATTTTAAAGGACTATTAACACTTGTAGTAGACGACTGGGTCAAGAAACAATCTGACACAGTTTGTGCTTTCTGCTTGATTGCAGTATCACACCATTTAGCGTAGTGCCAGATATAACTCTTACGTTGGTTAACAAACTCAGTGTCACTTTATATTGGCATTTTCCAGGTAGGGGCTTACCTCGTTGTGTGAGATATCATCACAGCACTAGATGAGTTGCCGCATCATCTACTAAGAGTAACCTGTAGTGTGTATATTATAAAACGGTGGGGAGGCAAATCACTCAAACTCAATCGTGTTTCCTTTTCCACTACTTTGGACGGTGGGTACTTCGTATTTGAAGTCGGTTGCACGGTTTCTAGGTGTTCTGAAAACGTTTGGTTCAATAGCTTTGTTGCGATGTACCGTTCTTAGGGCGCGATCTGATTATCAATATGAACGGACCACTAGTGCGTCATGAACATCAATTCTCCGTTTTGTCCCATGTAGCATGCTGATGTTAACCTTGTAGCGGTAAATAAATCCCCAAAATAAATAGCACTAAGTTTTCGACATTGGATGCTGACCATATGTTTTAGTGGACTCACCTAGCTGAAGGCGCTCGGTCAGGCATCCGCACCAGATCACGTGTGGTAACGCCGTGCTCAACATCAACCGCAATCGCTAGCCAGATTAGATCAGAGAATTCCGATATATTGGTCATCGCCAATATACTCTTCCGATCTCCTCGACTCTGTCTTTTGATTTCTCTGGGCGGGAACGAAATATATTAGAAGGTGTTACTGGTAGAAGCGTTGTCAAACACTGAATACCTGTGACATCATCATTGGTGAAACCGACGTGATCTGGTACACCTAATTGCAACTGTGAGTCTGTTCCTTTTTGGGATTTTTATATATCATTGCCTTATTTTTTTTAACTTTTTTAAACATTGTGATTTTTTTTCGTGTTTTTTCCTGGATATATATATTTTCCCCTCGTTCATTATCGTACTTCATACTTCATCATGACTGAACAGACACCTAAAGTACTCAAGCTTAAGACTTTGTCCCCGCCTTCGTTTCAACTGATGCCTTTCTGGCCCGACAACATCGAAGCCTGGTTCTGCTACGCAGAAGCCGACTTCCACGAGCACGGCGTGATCGACACACGTGCACAATTCCTCGCAGTAGTCAAGGCACTACCGCGCGAATTCAACAGGTACGTAACACCTAGTATGTTTACTAGTGATGTTTCCGATCCTTACGAAATCTTAAAACGCTCGATTCTTAAACGAGGAGACCTAACCGATCGACAAAGGTTAGATCAACTCTTCAACAATATCGACCTGCAACACGGTTCTGCGACGGACATGTTGCAACGGATGAGAGAGGTAATAGTGTTTTTTCTTTAATCATAAAGTATTCTCTCTTGCTATTCTATCTGACTGGTTATAAAAAACAAACTCAAGTATCTCAGATTCATACAGTAGTGTCCTAAAAATGTTTAACTTCATTTAAGAGTTACTCAATTCTATAGTATAATTTAGTTTTAAACTTGATAAACTATAACTAAACAAATTCATTGATTCTCGAAAAAAACGATTGTATTTATTCAAACGTTTTGAAATTTGTTTAACAAAAGAGTATGTTATGATTATTATATGTTTTCAACTGTGAGAAGCCATCACCAGTGATGAGACGTATCTACTTCAGACAATCGAAGATAGTGCGTAATTTCGTGGATTGGTTGAAATTAGATATAGAATACCGTCTCATGTCTAGGGGCCAATTGTTCGTGCGCGAGATCGAAGGTCCTGGATTCGAATCCGCGTTGTGATCGTTGATATGCATTACTGAGGAGACCATAATAGGACTAAATGACTGTTCATTACTTCCAGGTTTTCAATAATGGTCTAACATGGTTTATTCATGATCTCAATAAAAGAGTGATTATTTAATTATATTCTTTTTTGTTATCGAATTATGAATAGAAACATTGAATGAAATTAATTTAATTGTACACAATTATCACCAGACATATACAAAATAAGA